AGGAGATACACTCATGGAGATTTTCATAGCGGCAACATATTGCAAAATCAATATATTAATGGAGATTTAACATCTTTTATTACAGATCTAGGATTATCTGGGGATAAAGGCGAATTAGTTTTAGAAGGTGGTATTTACGGCGTCTTACCTTATGTCGCACCGGAAGTGTTAAATAAACGACCATATACAACTGCAGCAGACATTTATAGTTTTGGTATTATCATAACTGAAGTGTCTACAGGAAAACCACCTCACTATGATGTTGAGTATGATGAAATTTTAGCCATTCAAATATGTAATGGATTACGTCCTGAATTTGCTAAAGGCACTCCAGAATGCTATATTCAATTAGCCAATCAATGTATGGATTCCAATCCTTCCGATAGACCGTGTGCAAATGTTATTTACGATAAATTGAAAAGGTGGTATGATATAGTAAATTATAGTCGTGCATGGAGTGAAAATGAATTAGCAATATTAAAAGCATTCAAATACGCGGATGAAATTATTTCTACATTATCAAATAACGATAAATTACCGATTTATCCTGCTTAATTTCAAACCCTTTCTGAGCCAATTAATTCATCTGCAAAATTGCCAAAAGTTTGTGGTAAATAATTATAACGATATTATCTACAGTAATTTAATCGGCAAAATTTTTAATTACTTTTAATTTTTTTTAGATTCTACTATATATAATTTTTCAATTTCTGATGAGGATTGTATCCGTATGTATTTAAATTTGATTGGCGATTGATCACGTGATTCGTCTCCGCTTTAGACTTTAAGAACAGTCAATCATTTTATAAACATATAATGACGTCATTTGTTTACCAGAATTAAATAAACTGGTCTAAAATATGCTCCTAAACTAACCCTAAACTAACCCTAACCTAGGCCGAATGATAGTCATGTGATATTGTGGGTTAACTCTTCTTAAATCCTCCCCATTGTTATAGATAATTAAATACGTACGTACAATCTATAATTTAGCGACTACCGTAAATTCTCGAAATAACGCCCAGGGGTAAAATTATGAAATTTGGCCCTAATTCGGGCCAAACCTCAAAATAACGCCCATGCCCGCTATTTTGAGAATTTACGGTAATTCCGCAATTAAACCTAATGGAGTTCGATCGGCCTACATTATGTAATAATTTTAGCCAGAATTATATGCTGCGGCGATCATCAACCCGAACTTCGTGGGGAATTAGCCTAATCTTTTGTAATTTTGTTGGGTTAGATTATGAGTACTATAGAGGCCTAGCGCTAGGCAATAATTTAAAAATTTTAAATCAGGTTTTTTCTTATTTAATCTCTATTTTATTACAACAACAGGTTTTTTAACAAGAATTAGATATATAAATCTAAAAGTTTAATTAAAATGATTGTCGCAGTACAGGGTTATTAAAAAATATATCTACAAAAATCATGTGCATTATTCTCAAACTTCGTGCGCCATCACTAGTTTTAATAATAATAAGACAGGTTTAAATATTTGTTTAGAGGTAGCTTTTATGTAATAAAACGAGTTTTAAACTAATAATTCGAATGGAGTCTATAAAATAACGGGTAATAATACATAATAATTAATATGTTGGCGCAACTTATGTGGCATTTAGTCTAATAATCTAATCAGTCCTAGTTTGGTCTAACTTTTTAAAAGACTGCCAAGACAGACCGGACGAACCAATTAACAGCCCTAGTTTCACCTAACCTGATCTACGTAGCGGATTTTACTGTCAGCTAACTCGCTGTCCTAAAATAAATTAAGGAACAGAATAAAAATACCACGGATATAGGCTCCATTAAGTAAAAAGAATAAGTTATAAGTACTTACAAAATTATTTTGCCTATCCATACTTTCTCGATACAAAAATATTTCACCGACAATCACTCTGTTTTCTCGACATTCTCTTTTCTTCCATGCTTTATTCGTGCTATCTTCGTTATAATATGCATCTTACTTAATAAGGCTTTGTATATAGAACATTTTATATTTAGCAAATTCAATTCAATTTGAAATTTGCATTGGATCAATTCAATATCGAGTTTCATTAGGGATAGGGTGAAACCCTATCACTATGTTAGGGTAATTGTAATTATTTTGACCTGGTGCAAATTTTAAGCATATGACATATATATAATTTTATATATAATTTATTTTTATTGAGCAACAAAATCGATGCATTATTATTCAAAATGAAATATCCTTTATTTCCGATAAGTTATTAATTTAAAGTATATGGAAACTTATTTAATTAGCATCTTTTTTCACAGTTTATGTCTATTGATATGAATATAATAAAACTGGATAAACGAATTAATTTTGTTGATTTTAAAATTTGAATATCTCAGCTAACGCTTTTACTTTTCATTGTAATTATCACATGACGAAGCGAGTTAATACTTGGATCATTTACAAAATTATCGGAACAAAGAACCCTTCATGCAATTATCACCTAACTCCTAACACTTAACCCTAATGTAGGCTGAAAAACTTAATCATGTGATGTAATTATCATTAAGATATCACTGGGTTCCTTGTTTCCAAATAATCAGATGTTTTTCAAGATTTTAATCGAATCTTCCAATGGATTTAATAGAAAATCTGATCTAATAGACCAAATAGATTCTTTGTTAAGCCTATTAAGAAAATACTTGAGAACACCTTCTGTTTCCATGCACTACTTATTTAATTCGACATAGCAATCTATTATAAGCCCTTATTGCAAGTTTTTTTATTTTGTAAATGTCAAGTATAGGAACAAGATAGTACATTATAGTTTATCACAATGATAATTTAGTACAGATTTAGAATTTCCTCACTAAGGGTTAAAAAATTTTGTCTTTTTAGTAAAATGGGTTTAAATCAATTTTGGTTTCAAATTTTAATTTTGGGTTTTATAGTAGAACCTGAAATAATTTTGTTAGCATATATAATCTCTACAAAATTATTATTACAAAAGCTTAATTCTTTTTTTATATTTGAAACATAGAATAAATAAATTTGGGCCATGCTTTTTAGCCACAAAACCTGAAGCCATGTGTGGCATTCTTCACTAAACTATTTAAAATAGAAAAGTTTTGCTTATAGCTAGCTTAGAAGGTATAATAGCAAACATAGTTTTTGCAAGTTCTTACAAGTGTATATATTTATCCTTAATAACTTCCCACTACAAAGAAGGTATTAGATTAGAAGAATACTCAAAATTTCAAGATATAATATTTGCTTTGTATTTGATTAACTAACCTACTAATTTATAATATTCTTTTTCATTATAATGTAAAACTTTGTAGTAATTAACTGCTAGTTTACAAATATCACAAAATTTTCTTTTCTGTAAATCATGACTTTAGCTGTTTGGATAAAAAAAATAAGTCAGAATATATGAAAAATTATCAAATTCTTGATAATGACAATTAAATACTATAATAGCTAAAAAACAAAAATAGTTACTAATAGAAATTTTTCTAAAAGTAGAAGCCAAATATATGATTTCTAAAAAGCAATTAGCCAGGTTTGCTATATAGCTTTCAAGTAAAGTAATTCAAAAATTAAGGCTATTCTTTTATACAAGGTATAAAAAATTTTATTTTTATCATTTACAATTTAAATACCTCTTGGTTAGTAAAGAATCTGGATAATATATATTATATTTATATATAATACAGATTTAAATAGAACTTATTAAGTAAAAACATGTGAATATTCTAAATATTCAATAATTATAATATATTTTGCAAATATATTTTTTTTTAAAGATGGTTATGTCACTACATTATTATTATTATATTATAGAGTATAAATATGTTATTATATTATTAATTTTTACCTATTGCTATTACCATATTATTAACAAAGTGTATCTTATATAGTTACTATATAGCATCTTTATATAACTAATTCCTATAGAATTCACTTTCTTGAGTCTTTGTGATCTATCTCAGACTACAATTTTCAATTCTCCAACATAGTTCCACTGTCTATTATTACTTATATATATCCTATATATATACTACTATACAAATTTTACTAATTAAATCTTATCTTTCCTATATATAGCTAGTGTTTTAAACCATAAACTGGATAACCATATAACTAATTATCCGACCTGAAAATATTACTAACCGGATCATATTTTTGAAAAACCGGGTTAATTTAATAAATGGGTGATCTGTGTATTAATGGGTAACCTGTCTGTTAACAGATGACCCGTCTGTTAACGAGTAACCCATCTGTTAACGAGTGACCCGTCTGTTAACGGGTGACCTGTCTGTTAACGGGTGACCCGTCTGTTAATGGGTAACCCATCTGTTAATAGGTGACCTGTCTGTTAACAGGTGACCCGTCAACAAATAATATGGTAATAATCCAGTTTGTATTTAGACAATCAGACAATTAACTAATAACAAACCAGATAATTTAAAGTTTAAATATAATCAAAAATGTAAAAAAAATTTTTTTTCTGTCTGCTTGTAGTTGTAAAAAGGTACTTTTTTTTAAAAAAATATTTTTGGCAAACCTATTATTATGATTTTATGAAAACATTGACTATAAGAATATTAGAATGTCTTCACTTAACACCATTAACTAGACAAAATATTTATTAAATAGCCATGTTTTAGTGATTTTTCAAAAAAAAAACCTTCTGATTTTCCTTGTGCCCAAAATATAAATTACTTAAACAGCGGCTGCTAAACCAAAGAATATCTTAAAACAAGTGTGAATATTGAACACATATTGCAAGTAGGTAAAATTTTTTAATTAAATGCATTTTGCAAGAAAAAAATTATCAGTAAATTACTATAATAGTGAAGAATAACTGTAGGTGTTACCCAAATAAACTCTTTGATATCTAATTACATATTAAAGGATAATATACCTTCTGTGCATAATGATGAATTTTCTGGCTATAAGGAACCGGAACCACTTAGATCTGGTAAATCACCTGCTTGTAAAACAAAGAAGCGAAAAAACGTAATAATTTCAGTATAGTATGGGATTATTTCAAAGTCGAGACAACAAAAAAAGTCAATTTTACTGTTGTCAAATTTGTAAAGAAAACAATATTACTGTCCAGTATGCGCATAACTCTTCAACTGGAAATATGCTTGGCCATCTTTGGTCAAAGCATCGAATTGATAAAGACTATCCTGAGAAAACCAACACTAATGGCTCAATTATTAAAGTGATGCATGTTATTACAAAATGGAGGCAGGAAAAAATAACGCAATTATTGGTTGAATTTATTATTGAAGATTGTCAACCTTTTCACATTTTACAAAGTAAAGCTTTTTGTTGTTTCCTAAACTATATGGAGGCTGGATTTCAAATTCCTTGTGAACAGACTGTGAAAAAAATAATTAATAAGGCATATGAATGGAGCCATGATCAATTATTCAGTATGATAAATATGGATGGTGGATATATTAATCTTATGACAGATTTATAGACCTCAAGAACAAATCAAGGGTATATTGGGGTTACGGTAACATGGATCAATTCAAATTTTGAATTAAAGGAGGCTTTATTGACAATATGACCACTTCTTTCACCACATATGGCTGAAGTTATTGAAGATTCTCTTAATCAAGTTATTACTGATTGGGGCTTACTAGTCGGATGTTTTGTATTACAACTGACAATGGCTCTAATGTTAAAAAAGCAATTGGTTTAATAGATATTACACAATTATCTTGTTCAGCGCACACACTCCAACTAAGCATGATAAAAGGTCTTAAATCTGCGGTGCGATTAGTTAAACAAGCAAAAAATTTAATTCTTTTTTTTTCTAAAAGCCCTAAGCAATCTGAATGACTTAATAATACACAAGAAAAATGCAGATATTTGAAGATTCACCAAACAATCGATGATGTGCCAACAAGATGGAATTCCTCATACTTGGCTTGGATTTGGCTTAAAGAGTTACGAAAAGTGATTGAATATCTTGGTTTAATGTTGTCTTCAGAATTAGAACGTTGTGACAGAATCAATGGCAAATATTTGAAATTAATAAATTTAACTGAAAATGAATAGCAATTGTTAGATAATTTTATTCTATTATTAAAGCTATTTTATGAAGCCACCAACATATTTTCAGGTTCAAGCTATCCTACTCATAACCTGAAATTACTCATTAATAAGTTTGCACCTTCTAATGAACAAACTGAAGAAGACTATGTCGATTTATTATTTGAATCTAGTAGTAGACATGTTAAAGAAAATTTTTATTAGAAATAAAAATATTTTATTTAAAAATTATCTAACCTGGTAGTAAGCTAAATTCTTATATAATTTTTATCTCATAAATGAGTGCTGCTAGAGATAGGCAAAGTTAGTTATATAATATTACTTAATATTACTTAATATTACTTTGCAATAAGTATTATTAAGTAATTTTACAACTTCTCATTCAATCTCAATTTTGATCACACGTCTCCAACTTTATCATGTGTTTTATATGTCATGTAATAGATAATTGAATGTAATAATTATTTAATATTATTTAATATTAGTAAGAGATAAGTTATGTCATTATTACTTACAAAATTACTTTACTCATCTTTAAAGTTTTCCCTTGGCAGCACTTAAATAGATTAGTAATTAATTTAAAAACTACCTGACTTTAGACAGCCTTCTTGTTTAAATTTGATATAATATTTACTTTTTTTTATTTTTATTTTTTTATAGTCAAAGCCAATTAACTAAAGAAAATGATCCTAAATCTGATATAAAAAATGAATTTGATACATTAATAATCTCAGAGCAACTTCGACAACATTACAAGCAGTACAAAGACGAAAAAAAATACAAGTTCATGACAAAACCAAAAAAAATACACATGGTTTACAATTTAAAGGTCACCGGTCAATTGAGCCACCTGTTACTAATGAAATACTATATAATCTGGTTAAGGCCACAAGTTACTTTTCTTTTAAAGAATATTGGGAGGTTTCTGAAAAAATTGGACTTGTAGTATTGTTTTTAGATCTGCAAATTAAAAATTTAAAATTCCTTGATAATAAAAGAATAAACACTAGTCAAAAGCTGGCAAATCAGGTACAAATCAGGTATATCATATTTAAAACTGATAACTACCTGATTGTTGCCGATTTTTAAATCCGACAGCCTGATTTATACTGATTTATGGTGCAAATTGGCATACAATCTGGACATAATCAAACATCAACCAGATATCAATCGGGCATTGATCAGTAAATAGATCACCAAACTAAAATATATATATATCTAGATATCAATATGATCATTACTGTATAACATTCATGTTTTTACCCAGGATTAAAATAAATTAATTCGGGGTACAACATAGTTTAATTATATAGACTAGAAAACCAGCTTTGATGGATAGTTTGAGTTTTTCAATTAATATTTGTATTGCACAAATTTTTATTTTATTTTTTTTAAGAGTTATATATATGTATTCTAAAGTATATGTATCCAAATCACATAACACTTATACTAATATAATACTGATAAAACCTTTTATAGTACTTTATTTATTTTTATTTATAATTCGCCTTTACCCAATTCTAACACTAAACCCCAATTCTAACTCAAAAACCAATCTGAAATCTAGCCTTTACTATTACATAATGCTTTTTAAATTCCTAAACACTATAAAGTGCAATATTACAAATAAATACCCTATCTAACTAGTGATTGGACCCGTCTAAAAAAAGTGTCACCCAGGTAGAACTCAGGTTATAGCTATTACCATAATTCCTGGGACACTAGCGAAAATTCATAAGCACCTGAGAACTTGACTTATAAAACATCAAAGTGTTTTACAATTCTGAATAATAAGCTTTTTAATTATTCGCTAGCGAAGATGCTTTGAAGGCATTACGTTTCTGTTGAGATATTCATATTGGTATAATATATATATTAGTTACCTAATCTTAAATTACATATGTAAATTTATGTACATACGTATAAACTTATAGAATCTATTATGCCGAAATCATAAACTTAACCGATTATCCAGCTAATTTTATCAATGTCCCGGGAATTAGAATAATAGTTGTAATCTCGAATATGTACCCGGTTGATGAAAGTGCTTGTCACGGCAAAGATTTAAATTCGGGTTGGAATTCTACAAGTGTCTAAGGGTTTATGATAATAGCTGTAACTCACGGGTGACCCACTCAGGTCCAATCACTATATCTAACTCTAACATCTTAGGGCGAAACATTTATTCAAAATAAGTGTTATTAACATTCATGTTAGTCATCTCATTTAGCCCATTAATATAAATAACTATAGTCATTGGAATTAAAAGCATCAAACAAGTTCAAATCAAAATATAAATACTTATCAGTGCATAATACCTTTCAAATCATTTTGTTCACATTAATCGTATTATATAGCTTGTAATAGTATGTATAAAAATTTTTTATTAATCATTAGAATCAAAAACATTCAAAATCAAGAAAATAAATACTAACCAGCACATAAAACGTTTCAAATCATTTCATCGTATTAATTGTTCCATTTA